TTCAATGTAGAAAGAATTGGCACTTGCTTTGAAAAGAATAGAAGTTAACAATGTACTACTAATGTATGTTTTCAAATGTGTAAAATTAACGGCATGTTGAATATGTTCTTATATACAATGTGAACTGTTATTTTAAATGTTAAGAAATACCGTGATATGGTAAAAGTGAAAGTAATGTTAAAAATTTGTTATTCGTGTGACTGTAAAAAGATTAAATCATGGTGAATATGTGTTAAAGGTTGAATGATGTAGTTAGGCTCTCTGACGCTACACTTTAGAGTTAGCCACTTTTAGAATAGTACCTCAGGGTTTAGAGTTGAAAGTAGGGTGTGTTAAGAGGTCTTGTTATGTTGAATTTTAACACGTTAGTGTTTTGATTGTAGGAGGAAGTGTGGAACACGTAGACAGAAACACATTCGTGTTTGGTGTTCTTTTACAACACATGTCAGAGAGCACGGGGAGAGATAATTAAAATAGTCATGAATGAAATAAGAATGTTAAGAGAAGTATATTCTATATGTTACTTGCCATGTCATTGTGTAACATTTCATTAAACTAGTTTTCCTTCCAGATCTCTGGAAGGAACCAGAATTGAATAAAAGCTCCTGTTTAGATGCAGTACAGATGAAAAAAAAAAAGATTGTTGTAGATCCTGGGAGCTGCTATTGTAACAAATTTCTTTCTTTTTTTAAATTTTTCTAGTTTCTAGCGAAGTTATGTTTGTAAAAGGTTGGCCTCGCGTTAGATTCTAGAGCTAAAAGTTTTCAACAAGGTCGTTTTAGACCTCAGTTTCAAACTAATTAACTCTGGCGGGAAGTATGTAAGGATCTTAAGTTTTACTAACGGTTATTTTATTTTAAATCTTTACTATCACTTCTTATTTTCTACTTCCGGCCAGAATTATAAGCGTGAAGGATTTTATGCAAAGTTTGTCTGGCGAACGCCAAGTATTTAAGTGTGGCTTTTTGCCAAGCGAGAGAGAGGAAGCAGTGAGTTCGAAGCAGGCCGCTTACCTTAGAAGTTACGCAGTTGCTATTTTGCCTTCCAGGCCAGAGGTTTTAATCCTCTTGATAAATTAAACGTATTGTAGTGTTCACAGTTCTCTGTGCTACATACGCTTCCTGTTATTATAAGGCCAATCTTCCACGTTATTATTCTAAAGTTAAATTAGAGTTTAGTTTTATTTTTATATCTTTTACGTTAGACCCCGAGTGGAGGGTCATTGTATTCCGAAGTACGGAAGTTATTGTATATAAAGAAAAATAAAGGGTTTTGTATACCCTTCGTCTGTATCCTGTCTACTTACTACAATTAGTGAACATAGCTTTAGTAAGCTCTCTGTTCCTAGTCAGGTCATTGTATGTTTCCGAAGAAGGTTAGAAGAAACATTGAACCTGATAACATGTTTGAAATATTAATCCTGGAACTATTACTGAAGGTCGTCACTGCTTCGGAGAAAAGGTCTTCACTCTTCTTTCATCCTATTCTTTGAAGCATTCTTCTCATTAAACTGCAAAGTCATAGCTTTATAGAGAAATCTTTATTGAGCAAGTGACGGCCTGGTCGGGTCAAGTAAGTGTACTGTAGGCTTGCACACCTACAATACACTTACTTGATTCCTTCTTTCACAGTTCGAAATTTAAGTTCACTCCAAATAAAATTCACCCATTTTTTATGATTTATTTTTAAAATTTGTATTTTTAAACAATTTTTTATAAATTTTTGGAAAATGATTTTGTATTATAACCTTTAAACTATCATCTTAAAGTATATGTATTTCTAAGTATACCTGCAGAAAATTCGAGCTTTTTATTCAAAATTTCCGAAGATATACCTGAATTTATATATTGGCACGTTTTGAAATTTGGTATAATTGTTGAAAGCAATAACAACATCTAATGTGGTTTACGCACTTAGTTAAAATTATTTGAAAGTAGGAACGATGTGATTTTTTTCCGGCTCATGTACAATGTAAAAATGTAGGAACAATGTGACTTTTTTTCCGCCCTTGCACAATATAAGAGGACGGAAAATAGGTTGCCACATATTAAGAAGTTCGCCAATAACTTATTATTGGCTCAAACTGAAAAAAAAAAATCCCCAAGCAAAATTTTTGAATATCTCTAAATTTCGGACCAAATTTTACAAAATTTAATATTTAGGCATAATTTGAGTTGTAGAATCGAAATTTGGAAAATCATTGGCATTTTTTTTTTCAGAAAGACTCATCATTTTAAAAATATCTATGGTAGAACAATGCCATATAGTATAAATCTAATATATGTATATGCTAAGTCGCGTTTTCGAGACAGGGAAAACGCAAGTTAAAATTTCAACAATCGGTCCAAATGAGCGGTAGATATAGAACTTTTTTTGTGGTGCAAGGTGTGCATACAAGAAAACTAAAATGTCCAAAAGAAAATGTGTTGAACAATGGGACATGAAACACGTAACATAACTGTAAGCAGAAAACCAATCAAATGTCGATACAGAATGTAAGAGAAGCAGTGCCAATGCGCAGTTCTATAATATTAAATGCTGTATACAGATACAGATGGTATAGATAATTTGTTATAAAGGGTGTTTCAAAACTTATCTTTCAAATTTCGTGGGGAGGTAGGCAAGACGTTAGAGAACTGATTTCACATACGAAAGCGTGTCCGCAAATGTACGCGAGAACGCTGTGTGTATTTAACCAGTGTGCAGGTCGCCTGACAACTCCCGCTGACATCAGTGTACGAGCTGACTTACTAGTGATAAGATGAATCGTTTTAGGCATCAAGAGCCAGCGGATTTGCATCTGACATACGGGTCAGCTGGCGAAAGCGGCCGCCGAGCTAGGCAAGTTTACGAAGACCGATACCTCAACAGAAGAATACTACAGTATCAAATGTTTGCACGTGTACATCGCAATCTGTGGGAACGTGGTTCACTGCGCAGCAACATGGAGGATACGGGAAGAAGACAACCGACGCGGACTGTCAACGTTGCAGAACAAGTCCTACAGTCCATCGAAGATAATCCGAATAGCAGCACACGAGCTATTGATCAGCAGCTTGGGGTCTCTCACTCAGCAGTGTGGCATATACTGCACGCGGAACGTATGCATCCTTGCCATCTGCAGAGGGTGCAGTTACTGCATCCTAAGGATTATCCGAAGCGTCTGGAATTTGCTTAATGGTTTACGCAGAAAGGTGCCGTGGACCCCAGTTTCCCAGCTTCTATCCTTTTCATAGAGGAAATTTCATTCACTCGCGAAAGTGTGTTCAATACACCCAATTTGCATGTGTGGGCTTGCGACAACCTGCATGGTACGAGAAGTCACGCTGCGCAACACCAATTTGCCACAAATGTAAGGGCTGGAATCATTGGTGACTGTTTGTTGGGACCTTACTTGCTACCGCCCGATTGGACGGCCGGAAATACCTAGTCTTTCTCGAGACAGTGTTACAGACTTTTCTGGGCGCTCTTCCTGCGCATATCCGCCTAGATATGTGGTATCAACATAATCAACATCAGCCCATAGCAAACTGATGTGTGTGATTAACTGAACCGAACATTAGAAGCTGTATGGATCGGTAGAGGTGGAGTGACCGCTTGACCACCCAGGTCACCTGATTTATCCCCATGAATTTCTTATTGTGAGGGGACCATGAAAGAATATGTGTACGAGACTTCTGTCGACAGTGAAATGGACCTTTTTGCAGTGAAAATGACCGCCGGAGGAACTGTCCGTGATATGCCAGGCGTTTTTGAAAATGTTCGGAGGTCAATGCAACGGCGTTGTGAAACCTGTATTCGTGTAAATGGTCGCAGTTTTGAGCACCTACTGTGAACATTTACTTTACCTTGTTGGAATAAAGAAGATCACATCGTTCCCACTAACTGTATTGTTTCCTTATGTTAACTTTACTTGTCCAGTTTGCTCATGTAGATGACGTTTGCGGACATACCTTCCTATGTGAAATCGATTTCCTGATGTCTTTTCTACCTCCCTACGATATTTGAACGATAAGTTTTGAAACACCCTGTATGTGCGAGTACATCATACAGATGCGGAATGCACATTAAAGGGATTGAGTGCTGTTCAGAGCAAGCGGTATGAATGTTCTATATGCATGTTTTGTACTTTTGTTCTGCAATGTACTGGTAGTCCATTCTGGCCAGTTGCCATCCGCTGGTTTGGTTAGGTGCCACTTTTCAGTTAAGGAGCGTTAGCATAGTGATTTATAGGGATAAGAAGTCGACTTTCGGTCAAGGGGACATTCCAAAGATCTCCAACCCTACTTTCCCTATCACCAGCCTCTCGAGAGGATTTTCGGTTTGCCATGTATTTTAAGTACTTCTTTCCACACAGACCCTATACACTTACAGGTATCCATGCCTCTTCTGGAGTTTTCTAATCCGCGCCCAGCCAAGGCATGTCGCAGCAGCTTATTGCTTACTTTATCCCGAGGCATGCCAAAGCATGTCCAGCCATCAGAGCTGCATAAAATGCCGAGTTCTTCGTGTTGTGCAAGTCGAACGAGATGTAATTTTAATCACTTCCCCTTGGTATTATTTTTGTAATAACTATGGCTTTGTTATCTTTGTGTTCTCCATGGTGAGGACAGCGCGCAGTGTATATGTATCTATTACTATATTTTTAAAATCTGAAAATTGGTAAAATTTTGATTGTGTAGGTCGTGGCTGACATTTACTGAAATAATTTGGTTCCCGAATTGGTAAATCCCTTTGATAACGTTTTACAAGATTTAACCATTGGGATTTTACCGTCGAAACCATTTACTAATTTTTGGTGTTATACAGAAATATATCAAAACATTTATCCTTAATTAAAATTCTGTAATAGAATCTGTTGAAAGAGTAATCGTTCAGGATGCGTTTTAGAACCTTGAGTGGTCTTTGTGAAATGTGAAGTATTCGACACACAATTACATAAAGTGTTGAGGTTTAAAATGCTCGTAAGCAGTGCTTACTACTGCTTTGCTATTTCTTACCTTCGCGATAATAGTAGAGTGATCCAAAGCAGGAATTATGGCCTCTGTTGTTTTCAGCACGACACTCATACTCGCCTTCATCTTCTTCGGTGATATTACTCAATATCAACTCGTGCCATCCATCATCATGAGATATAATTTCTCTCTTTCCAACAATGGGGCGTAAAGACTCTCCACATCGCCACCAGGATACTACTGTAGGATCATCAGGGTCACTGCTTACTTTAACCTGAGGTAATAAATGGAAAAAAAATGAGGATTTCGTAAACCCAGGTATGCCAAGCTATATGCATATAATTCAAAAACTATTTCTATATTATTCTGAGAATTTCCTTAGATTTTATTTCCAATCAATTTAGGCTATATCTCCGTATATATTATTTGCAAAAATTCTGAGCAGTTCCTTAAATTAAAGTAGAATATCTTATGAAAGCAGTTTAAGCAAAGGAATCAACAGAATTCCGTAAATATAAAATTTAGCTCTTTATGTGGCTCCAATAGAGTAAAAATTCCAATTAATAAGATATTCATTATATTTTAATAGATTAAATACAAAAAAGAAAGGATTTCAACCTTTTCAATGTAAGAATTCTTTCCACTACGTACAAAATATGTGACGATATTCGAGTGCGAATTTTCTGATGTAGATAACTTTTCAGTTCACATCATCGAGCAAATCTGAATATTTTTCGCCTAGATTTCTAAAAAAAAAATTCTGAATTTGGCAAAACAAAACAAAAAGTTCTGAACTTGGTGATTAATTCTGAAACAGCATATGAAAATATCAATTACGTATACATGTACGAATTTTGTATATAAAGGTATGAAACTATCTCTATTCAACTGTAGAGTATACATTTAGCTTATTAACCAGTTATTTATGTTAATTTGATTTACTATCATTTTCGTTTCCCATTTCTCTGCCAGGATGTAAATTTTTAGCTCACGTATATTCAGATGAGGTAAAAAAGAGATAATATTTAAAGGAAGGTTTCAGAGGGTTTAGGTATTTCGGTTAATAAGAATGGTTTTGCTCCTTCAGAGGAGAATATTCAGAAAGTAGCCAAATTTCCTAGGCCAAGAAATGTGAAAGAGGTTCAAACATTCATAGGCATGGTAAATTATTTTCGACACTTAATTTTTAATTATGCAGAAGTTGTCAAGCCAATAGTAAATTTAACAAGAAAGAATATACCATTCGTGTGGAACGAGAGATGCCAAAATGCATTAGATAAAATACAAACAAGAATTAAAGAATTTTAGAAAAACCCACAATAAAAAACATAGAAAATGATAAACCTTTATATTTAGTAACCGATGCTTCTAGATCAGCCATTTGTGGCATATTAATGCAAAAAAAATGATGAAAAGATTTTCCCAGTACAATTTTACTTAAAACTTTTAACACCTGCTGAGGCTAGATATCCTTCAATTAGGAGAGAACTTTATGCAATCTTCAGATCAGTAAAGCAATTTCACGAACATCTGTATGGGAAAAAATTTATAATATTAACTGATGCTAAACCTCTGACTTTCCATATTAGTCTTGACAAACAGCCAGATATTGTAGCACGCTGGTTGTTATATTTACATTACAGGAATTTCAATACACGATGGAGGAGCATATTCCTGGTTTAAAAAACCCAGCAGACTACTTGTCAAGAGTTTCAGAGGATGTAGTGGTAAACAATGTAAATATATTTAAGACCAATGATAATTTGTCTATTCAAAACATAATTAGTAAACAGCAAAGTGATCCAGACATAAAATCAATTATAAAAAAATTACAGGATAACCACAAAGAAAGTGTAGAACAATATTTTATTGATAGTCATACAGATGTAGTAATGATAAAATTAAAACCTGTAAATATGAGAAAGAAAGACAGAAGTATCCAGAATAAAATTCTAATTCCTAAGGCATTAATTAAAGATGTATTACAGACAGTTCATGCGCCTCACTTTGGTATTCAAAAGACATATGAGTTTGTAAAGGCAAAGTATTATTGGAAAGGTATGTACAGCGATACGAAAAGTTTTGTAGAAAATTGTTCAGATTGCTTACAAAATAAGTCTAGACCTCACAACACTCTGCCACGTCTAATTCCTAAGAAAGATCTTGCTCCTGGAGAGATGATAGCTATAGACATAGTTGGTAAACTGCCAAGATCCATAGATAATAAGTTTTATGTACTCACTATCATTGATCATTATCATTATTCCAGATATTTGGAAACAGTTCCGTTAAACAACTGCACTTCTCAATCCATCATAAAATCTTTAAATGATTATTTTGCCAGATTTGGCATTCCAAAAATTTTGTTATCAGACAACGGTTCCTATTTTTGTTCCACAGAATTTAATCAATTTTTAAAATCGCTTAAAATAGAACACAGAAAAAGTTCAATTTATTATCCACAGTCCAATGGGTTGATTGAAAGAGTTCACAGGGTAATGAAAGAATCAATTGCAGCAATATCAAACAAAATATTTGAATGGCCACAAAAAGTACTGATGTTTAAACTGTATTATAATAATGCTAAACATTCTGTAACTCAATTTTCACCAGCAGAACTATTTTTTGGTAGAACATTAAATACTCCCATAGATAGCAATGATCCTCTTAAATTAGCAGAAGATTTCCAGGAATATTCCAAAAGAATAAAGAAAAAGGAACAATTGAGTAGAGATAAGCAACAAGTAAAATTAAATGAGGATGAATACTTTAATTGTGCAAAAAAAATATTTGAAAGGGAGAAAAATTCCAGAATTGAAATCAGGGGATAAAGTTTTTATGCAGGAATTTACTGATCGAAGGGTGCTACATCCAAAATACAAGGGGCCATATGAGATCATTAAAAAGCTACGAAATGATAATTATATAATACAATTAGAGAATAAAACCACTAAAGTTCACGTAAGTAAATTGTTTTTACAAAAGCCTTCAAGAGTAGATTCAACACAAAATGAGGATTAGGAGTGTAACACAATTGTAAATTGTAGATCAGCAAATCAAAAAAAAAAAAAAATGTAAAGACATTGTGATTATGATAAGAATGTAGCATGTGTACAAGCTAGATAATGAATGATGATCAAATGTAAAAAAAAGTAACAAACAAGTTGTGTAAGAAAGATAAGAATGTCATGTGTATTGTAGTAGATCAGCAAATCAAAAAAAAAAAAAAAAAAAGTGTAAAGAAGTTGTGATTATGATAAGAATGTAGCATGTGTACAAGCTAGATAATGAATGATGATCATGTGTGGTATGGGTCAATTTAGTGTAATAAAAAGCGCTAATTGCACGATTTTGGTAGAGTTGGCTGGTCCATATACCAGAAGAAGAATTGAATTGTACTATGCAGGGTCTCATTGATTACTAGGTAGCAGATTCAAAAAAAAAGAGTGTGGTTCAAATCTCCTTGTCTTACTGCTGAATCAAATTGAAGGTATGTAATTTAGTAGTGGATCTAATACAAATGTAGCTTGTAACAATGTCATGACACATTGGTATATGAAATGTATATGTAAAATGAATATGATCAAATGATAAAAGTAGCTATGTAATGAAATAGTGAATGTGATTCTAAAATGTAAAGAATGAGATAATGTAACAAAGGTAAACAATGGTTAAGAGGAGTAACATCAAATTGATAATGCAATATCATTAGTAGTTGATAAATTGATTTTATCACATGTGAGTTATAAATTATATATGTCAAAATTTCTTTTATGGAATCACATCTGTGGTGATATTTTAGGTAAGAGTAGACATGCATGAGTACGTAAAAGAATAATACTAATTTAAGAATGTAAAAAAAAAAATGTGTATCACAAAAGTGTTTAAAGTGCTGTGTTTTTTTTTTTCCCAAGCAATGTGAAAAATTAATGTGAAATTATGTGTGTATAGTGCATACGAGAGCTCAACTCAACTGTGTGCATGTAATGTGAAATGTTTATATAGTGCCAACGAAATGATAAAGTGCAGTGCCTTTGCAAGTGATGTAAAGATTGGTGTGAAATGTGTATGTAGTGCAGACGAAAGTTCAAGTGTGTCCAGCAGAGAGGGATTTCATTTGTCCAGTGATCGGACAAATTTTTTTTCTTCGGCCGGAGGGAATGTGAGAACACAGAATTCTCACAGTGAACACGGTGGCTTTATCGATTCTTGAATCGTTATCGCGCCCTACCACGTGCGTCGCAGTGGATAAAAACTGGAAGGACTG